GGGGGGGGCAATGTTTTACTATGTTTTCTCCATAATGTTTCAGAAATGAATGGGTTCTGTATTTGTTCTCCTTTTCCAATTTTTTAATTGGAAAAAATAATTTTTTCCAATAAAAAAATTGTAATTTTTTTTTTGCACATCCTACAGTGCATCCAAGCAAAACTTTTATTTTTCAGTCCTTGCCTCAGTCACAGAATTTCATAGCAGCTTTCTGAAATGGTCATCTTCCACAGGTAACCCACATTCACCCAGTGTTTGAGCTCTTCGTAGTAAGCAGGAGGTGACCCTGGAATGTCTTAACAGTCACAGTTTCCTGAGCTTCCATATGTGTACATCTCCCCATGATTTAATTCATTCTTACAGACCTATCACTGATAACCCTGCTCAGGACCTGCAGTCTAAGAGCTATGATTTTGTTTATTAAATGAACACATCTCACATTAGGTCATCTTTGTCTGTTCCCTTTATCTCCCACTTTCTTGAACACTGTTGTTTTTTCCAGAAAGCTGTCTCATGATGTGCCTAAAGTATGTTAACCTACGTTTATTCATTTTAAATTTTAGGGAGAGTTCAGGTTTTGTTTGATTTGAACCCAATTATTTGTTTACTGGAAGTTCATGGTATCTCTAAAAGTTTTGTCCTATGCCATGTTTCAAATGAAATGACTCTTTTTTTTTGGTTCACTTTCTTCATTGTCCAAGTTTCACTTCTATACATAGTAAGGGGAATACCACTGTATGGGTGATCTTGACTTAGATCTCCAGCGACACATTTTTATACTTAAGTATCTCTTGTAGTTCCTTCATGGCTGCCCTTCCAAGTCGAGATCTCCTTTTGATTTATTGGTTGTTGTTATAGTATTTTGTGGCCATTGCCTGGCTTGGATGTTTATCCCACAACAAAGCAATATTTGAAATATTCTGGGAGTTTTAAATTTGCCCTTCCGTAAATGGATGATGCTTTCCATATGAGAAAGGGCATCAGATCTGTCCCTGAAGTCTTAAATATACACCATACCATATATTTTGTCAACTTTCCCTTCTTCAAAATCAGATTTTTTAAAAAAAAATGACTTCCAAGTACAGTATAAATGTTACGAGCCAAAGAAAGTTAAGGCTTCACATTCCTGAAGAATAAAATAAGGTGTCACAGCTTTATTGCGATCGACAAACAATTAAAAACAGTCACAGCTTTTTTGTGAGAGACAAACAATTTTAAAAACAAAGAATTTTATGGAAACTGGAAGACTACATTTCACAGACCAGCATTTATTACAATAAATTTATTAATCTTTAAGTTGCCACAGCCCTGTGTTATTTTTGCTAGAACAGACTAACACAACTATCTCTTGGGAAGTTTTTAAGGAGATAATTCCTTTCTAGAGATACTGCATTCTTTTAAAAAATGTGTTGCGTCATAGAAATTCTTGTCAATGTGCACATTTACCTTTGCTTCCCATCTAGGTAAGTAACTGGACAGTATCCTTGCATTTCAGCTTGCATAGGGAACAAAATTATTTTTGCTAGAACAGACTAATACAACTATCTCTTGGGAAGTTTTTAAGGAGATAATTCCTTTCTAGAGATACTGCATTCTTTTAAAAAATGTGTTGCGTCATAGAAATTCTTGTCAATGTGCACATTTACCTTTGCTTCCCATCTAGGTAAGTAACTGGACAGTATCCTTGCATTTCAGCTTGCATAGGGAACAAAGCCTTCACATCTGCTGCAGTCAGTCTCTTTGGTAATTTATTTGGGAGAGGAAGAGGATTAGGTGCCAATGGGGGAACATATAATTCTGGTGCATTCAGGAATTTCTGAATTGAAAGAAAGCAGACATTTTATTGAATGAAAATGAGAAACCTCATGTTTCAATTCATGAATCACTTGTTCATGAAACTGCTTGTTTTATTTGCAAGTTTGCGTCCTCTCTGTATTTTGAGTACCTGGGAGGAACTTTTCTGAGCTGAGCTGATTGTCTGCCTATCCAGCACTTACCAATAATTTTTTTCAGCCTTTTAATTCAAAGAGAGCCCTGCTCTTCTGCTGAGTGCTTTCCCCCACTCTTTTTAGTCCGTTGGCAGCAGTTTGCTTGCTGTTGATCTGTTGAGTTGATTGCCAAGTATGTGTGCAATAAATAAAGAAAGCAGCGTACACAAGTCTGTAATTTCAAACAACTGTAAATAATTTTTTTAATTCTTTCTCCTACAAATGTCTCAGAGTGAGTTATTGAGATTTTAAGTGCCAGTTAATGAAAAAGGGATGTACTCTGGGAAATCTGTAGCTATTTTCTGTGTCTCTGTATTTCTACTGCATAGCAAAAGGAATTTTAAAAGAAATTCAAAATTCTGCAACAGAAACTACTGAGCTCAAAAAGGAGCTGAGATATTGTTTACTTTCTTATATCTTGGTAATATTTAGCTTGTAGTGCCGACTATGTTGTTGGTGATCTTCAGAATGAATACAAAAAGTGCATGCTTGTTTTAAAGGACAAGATCAAATCAGTGAAGGAGAGAAATGGACTGACATACTAATATAAAGCAACATAAGTGACATGGAAGTTCAAAACGTTTTTTGTTGAAAAGTTAAGATTTGAGGTCAGGGAGTGACCTGATAAAGGATGGGAAGCTATTCAAAATAAAAGGAAGTGTTCAGGGGTTACTTTTCCTCCTCAAGTCTCCATTATTTCACTTGTGCTATTATTTGGAATATTTGTACAAACAGAATTTCCCTTTGCTTGGAATTATTATGACCAAAAAGGTTATTAAGAGAATATAACAGAAAAAATTCTACAGTACCATAATGGCAGTATAGCTTAATGAAAAATACCGGTAAACATTACTTGTAGTCAGTCTATATAATATCTGAGGCATGTTCTTGCATATATACCTATGTATATAAGTACAGTATGTGTACATATAGAGTGGCTGAAAGTGAAACTAGAGTAGGTCAACTGAATCAGTGAGGATTCGGTGAGGCAACATCTGATTCAGTGGTCCTACTCTAGTTATGACTTACTATTGGATTTCAGCCTATATATAGTAAAAATTCTAACCAGTGACAGAGAGCTTTTAAAGCATTTAAATTCTTATCAGATTCTCTCAATGAACTACTGTTTTTGTCATACTGCAGACTGGAATGTGGAGTTTAAAGTTAAGAGAGAGTAAATCTGCCTAAAGAAATCTAAGGTAATTAAGGCAAATGTATCCATCCTCTTTTTACAACATTATTCCCTCACTTGTACAGTACATGCCAACCTACAAACTAAACCATGCTGTTTTACAATTATTATTGACCAATTCTAAAATGAAAGGAAGCTAATTTGCTAAATGCAGAGGGAGACAAGCTGTGTTAGAATATACAGACAGTCTTTTTCTCTTAAGGACATATTGCTTCTAGCAATCAATGTCTCATTGTGGGAGGTCCCTCATGGGTTTATGTCAGAAATAAAACATCTTGGCTTACACAGTGAGTGAATACTGCACACCACCTCTTTTGTACTTCCACCTGTACGTTCTACATACAGTACGTGTCTGATCTGCTCTGATACTCACATCCAGTTCCTCCTGCCCAGCCATTTTGTAATAATGTCCTCGAAACTCTGCCGCAAAGCGCAGTGAAGGAGAGACAGAACAATCGACAAGCTCGCCTTTTTCTGCAAGGTTGACAGGACAGTACTGCCCAAACTCTCCCAGTCGAGACAGCAGTTCTTGTGGCATGATACACATATCAGCAATACTGGCTGCTTTTCCTGTTAACAGGTGGATACAACACTTATGTTTCAGCTGTGTAACCCTGCATTTGGAAGATTATACCTGTTTTGTTGATAACATGTAAATGAAACAGCTATATCAGATAATACTGAGAAGAGCAAACGGACACTCTTAAACTGTTCAAATGGCAGGATAATTTGATGGAACTTCTGCAAAGATCAACAGAATTGATTCTGGCCTTTTTAAGTAAAGAAAAGCTGATGGGGACGTAAAATACAAAAGGTTACACCACATAATTAATTTATTAGCATGCTTAGCAAATGTTACCTATACACGCAGTATAAACTTTCATTTGCTGCTGAAAAAAAATTAATTTGCTAAATGGATTCTTCCTTTCTAAGACACTGAATTATAACTTGGCATTGATAAAATATTGTTCTACACAAGTTTAAAAACTGGATCTCCCTACAAGCTTGTTCAATGTCTATTTAAATAAAAAATTACCAAGGTCAATGAATGAGACTCCATTCAATGGGATTCACTCCCAGGAAAGTGTGTAGAAACTACTATATGTTTGCATAACATTGGAATAATGCTTGTTATCAAATATTAAAAAGTAGGTATAAGTTTTTCCCCCATCTAAGGTATTTATTTAACTAATAGCCCACTTTTCTGGGACTTGAGGAGGTGGCTTACAGTATAATTAAAATCAAATCTAGTTTAAAATTAAGTATTAAAACATAATTAAGTAAATTCTCCTATTTAAAATGAATGTCATTTCCATTATTTCAAAGTATTTCTGTTAAAATTAGTAACTGCAGGACCTCCTCAGGTTTCCTTGTCAGGCTTCCTTTACTGGCTTCTGACCTTGGGCGACCGTCCTTCCATCTTAGCTTCCTGTTCTTAGGGTTGCTGTTGTCCCTTCTATCCTTCCCATGCCTCTTTCTTGTCTCTTCCAGGAGGAGGTCTCTTGCTTTTGTTCTCTGGAGATAATGACTCCTGACATCTTTGTGAATACTAGACCTAAGACTCCTGTCATCTTTCGTAACCCAAGTGTAGTTCTCTAAGAAAGACAACCTTAACCTTAATAGCCGTGCATTATGTGCCTGCAGATTTATGATATTAACTCAATGGGGGGGGGGTTAGGTAAGAAGTCAACACTTGGCTCATGTGACCATGGCCAGAGAAAGCTAAGAGTGAAACACTTTTGAACAGCTGTTAGGGTCAAAAGAGTTGGTTCTGGCCAAAGAAGAGAACACTTGCTATTTATAGTCACAGGAACAATGCATAGATGATTTCCTTGCCACCGGAATAATTTGTATCCCTCTGTCTTAGGGCTGAATCCTCCATATTGTGAGCATGTGGAAGGGTATGATAGGATGGAGGGCTGATGCCGATTCCTTAAGGCAATACTGGGCCAGTGTGGCAATCGATAAGAAACTTGAAAATCAGAGGTAAAGCAGAAAGCATGGCTTTCTCAGTCATTATGGGAGTATGAAAGTGTTGTATGGTTTATCTCTTAGCAGAGTCTAGTGAGTCAGAGAAAGGGTGGGAACAGGTATAGGCTCCTGCCACACTGGGAGAGAAATGTGTCCCCTAGTGAGTTAATTTTTTGGACTGAGTTCTTCTTTGTCAAGGTACCAAATGGTGAAGTTGTCAGTAGCAATCTGGACTACACTCCCGTCAAGTAGAGATAGAAAGACGTTGCAGACCTTGAAAACTGCCAGCAATTCTCAAAATTTGATGTGATGGGCCTCCCTCTGAGTCCATCACCCTTGAATACAATGGTCCAAGCAATGATTCCCCCAACCTACACTGGATGTATCCACTGTAACTCTTGAGGCAAGGCGGGAGGTTTAAAAGGCATGCCCAGAAATATGTGGTTGGTATTGATATACCACAAAAGGGAAAGGAAAACTGAGCAAGGGCCTGCCAGTCAAAGTAATTTTGAATCTACTTTTGGAAGGTAAAATAAAGACACTTATGTGATGGATATGTGGCTATATGGAAATAAATGTCCTTCAGATTGATCATGGGAAATCAATCATCTTTCTGTGATTGGGGAAAAACTGGAGGCAGTCATCGTTGAAGAGCACTTTGTTATTATGAACTAATTGACACCTCAAAAGCAGAAAACTGAGTGCCAGCCCCATCCTGTTTCAGTACCATGAACTATCTGGAATAATGAGCAATAGATTGTTGATGTGGGTTTATTGATTTCACTTTGCAGAGCACGGTGCTACTCTCCTTTAGTAAAGCTGTCAAAGGAAAGGTGGAATAAAACACTCCATCAGGAGGGAGACCATCAATTCATATCCATTAGCCCTACTGGATAATGCCAGGTGTCCAAATATTGAATAGGCCTGAAGCAAAAAACAGGGTGATTGTTAGAGGTGTCAGTGAGATAGGACAATCAAAAGTGGTATTTGGGATCAGTAGACTAGAGTTTATAAAATAATTGTTTGGAGTGTCGGGTGGAAATTGGCTATGGAAAGTGTTTGAAGCCGGCAGTTGGTATATAGTAGTTGGTAGACTGAGACTGGGAAGATTGAGGGCACTGTGATGATCCTGATACAACTCTAATGTGGCAAATTGTGGTGGATAGTTTATGGGTCTTATCTAATTTCTAACCTGTCCTTTCAGAAAAGAGAATAAAACTACTGAAGCAGATATCATCCACCTTAGTACAATCGGTCTGGGACAAGGCTGTGTGGTGGAGCCGTAGGCATTACCTTAAAGCAATAGTGCCCATTGATGTGCATTCCTACATCATGTCTGTCCCAAATGACTTGTTGTCCAAAATATTGCCAGATGCTTCAAAGAAAAAGTGGACTTATCTCTCTCCCTCTCCCTCTTTTTAATTTTCAGGCAGAAATTTCATCATACTACAGCCTTATTCTCAAGGAGTACAGTAACTGGTGTTTTCCCAGATAAGCCTATAGCTTCATCATTTTCAGGCCTAACGAAACACCGGAGTATGCTTGGTGGCTAAGGAAGTGGAGCCGTCGGCAACAATATCTTTCCAATGGATAAGGCAAGAGTTTCAGAGTTAGGAGCCAGATGCTTTGGAAGAAACTTAGAAGACTCCTCCTGAATGCCGTACAGTGTCTCTAGTGGAGGAGAAGTTTTTGGTGTTGAAGACTGTTTTGCTAGTATAGAGCCTACAGTAAGGAAAATCGCATTGGCACTGTCCCTAGAACATTGCCTGGAATGTGTATCACTAAAAAGACTGGGTCGTACCTCATGCCAGTTGTTGTTGTTGTTTAGTCATTAAGTCATATCTGATGCTTCGTGACCCCATGGAGCAGAGCACGCCAGGCGCTCCTGTCTTCCACTGCCTCCCAGAGTTTATTTTAATTATTTATTTATTTATTGCATTTGTACCCTGTCCATCTAGTCCAGTGGTTCTTAACGTGGGCGATAATGCCCCCCAGGGGGCAATTTCATTTTTCAGGGGGGCGGTAGAACGAAAAGGGGCGGTGTGGGGGCGCTGGAGCATGTCTTTTAATTTCATGGCTGCTGTCACCATCTGCAGTGGTCATGGAGCCCAAGAAAGTAAAATCTGTCTCCAGATGTTGCTGGAATGCATCTCCTCTCCCCATCTCTTGGCTCTCCTGGGTCTAGCAGGACTTACTGTCCAGCAGCATCTGAATGGGTCTTTCTGAGCATTTCACCTGTGCTGGGCTGCTTTCCTCCCGTTGGCTCTTCTGTGCGCCCACCTGTGTCTTTAGAAGTCTAAGCAACAACTACCCTCAAGGGGAAAGAGGAAGGGCATGCATGGGTGACCTCTGTGGTTCGTAAACTTTATGACTTGGTATTTAATGCACAGGAAGGTCAAATTTAGGAGGCTGTTCTTAAGCCACTACAGCACTGTTTGGAGGTGGAGGTCTACTTTACTTTGTATGACTGTAGAGGGTGTTTGAACAAATCGCACATGTTCAAATGGTTTGATTCTGCA